CCAATCAATGCCTTCTGTTATGCTTTTGCCGACCAAGCACTCACTATAGCTACGACCATAACTACGACATAAGTAAACTCTAGCGCACTTGAGACTTTTCTCAATCTTAAAACCTTTCTTGCACAGTCCTTGAGACCTTTTTGAACGCTCATCATGTCGCTTCAAAGCAATTTTAAACGTACTAATTGAACTGAATTGGTTGAAAGAAAATGGAAAATGATGATACGTCTCCGAGGCCAATGCAAAACTTCGCGAAAAACCTTAAAATATTACTCGGTCGACAGTAAAGGGCCTTGTAGTCGACACAAGGCAAGTAATGAGCAATTCATTATCAAAATTAATTTGAAACTAAAGTGAATTTGGACGAGCAAAATGATAAGATCCTCTTTATACTCGAAACTAAAATTTGAAGCCAAACCTTGGTCACTTAATGGAAAGTTACGCTTACTAGTTTCATATCTAAAAATTGACGCTTGCTGCACAAACTGATTCAGTCGAGTCTTTAATCGACCCTTGCCTTTCAAATACTCTCTGCTTTCTTTAAATAATTGCCTTACAAACGCTGAGTGACAGCAATTCGTCTTAAACTAAGAAATTCTTTAGTAATTCCTTCCCAATGCACAGAGGCAAACAAAGCTGTAAGCAGCATAAAGTACGCTTTGAAGAAGGAAAAGGAAAACAAATTTTAATAGGAAAATCTAAAATTATCACAAAAGCTTAACAACACCTGTGAACATCTGTTACTGCTGCTGTACTTTTTTTAGATCAAATCAAAAATGGAAAACAAAATGTCCGTAATATAAATAAATAATTAGAAATGATAGATGAATATAAGTTTAACTACGTCTACTGTGTGTGCTAGGGCTTCAACGGAATAACATAATAGTCCATCATTAGATAGTCGACATCGCTTCTTCTCTGTCTGCTGGTTTGTCCGTCTGTCCCACTTCCCAACTGCGTAGTATCTGTGGTGAACGTTGTCCCATTAGCGAAAATGAAAATATCGGCTGCGAATTTCCGAAAAGATTTCAAAATAGATTAAACTGGCCGAAAGGCACGCCTACAATAACCATACTGAGAACATATTTGTTTTCCGTGCAACAATATAAATTTCCACTCTTCCTGAAAAACGAAAAATGTTGGGAACGCTCACCGATTGTTATGGAATACGGAAATTTAGATTTTTCATTATTGCATGACACGATGATGAGTATGAAAGATTGATATTGATTGAGGTCGCTGCCGAATATAATTTTCTTACTTGTTCCTATACAGCAATGTCCAGTTTGGAAAAATGATCTGGACCTTGTCCTTGTACTATCAAAGTCACTTTTTTTTATAGAACGACCAGCGTGGACCATTGTTGTGGTCGCTTCTGGCCTAGCCAGGTTACTTCTATCTTAATTGTTCGTTTCAAAGGCCGTGTCTACCGAAAGCTGAGATATTTCGACGGTATTACAAAAGTACCAATTTCTTGGGATTGAGGGGAAAGTAAGAAAAAAAACTTACAAAACTTTTCCAAAATTTTATTCCAATTGATCATCTTACTTTTTGTCAATAGCTTGAAATGGAGAAACAGTTAAGAAAGGATAATTTACCGAGCTTTCGCGAAATTCGATCAGTTATATATTACGTACAGACTAAATTGATTCAAACACAGCGAAAATGTAGTAAATTTACTTCTAACGAAAATGATATATGGCTTGCGGTTCCTCTCTGCGTATGGGGATTCGGTGATTTACCTCTTTATCGAATTAATGCACTTGTTAATTGCACTTACAAACGTCGCTGTTTAGTTATTTAAATTTTTATACAAAGTATTCGCGTGCGCTTTTAACTCTTTCTCTTCTCAGATCGCGTTCGCATTCGTTTGTCTGTCCGGTTATCAAATTATTAAGAAATGTGAATTTTATCGCGATTGTATGACGTTCCCAAGCGTAACTTAATAGAATATTTAACATCTTGTCGTTACTGTTGGCTGTTGTTTCATTTTACTACCTTTTTTTTTTATTTTGTTTTTCAGTTTCGCGAATACAAAGTGTACTGAACTGAAGTGAATCAAAAAACAAAAACAGAAAAAAAAAGCATGCAGCGCAACAAGAATAACAAAAATTATATATACGCAAAGGGCAACGAAGCGTTACCAATGAGTTTCCGTTGTTAGAAAAGTTTTCTTTTGCAGATTTATGATTGTTTACCTGTGCACCGACCCAAATGTATGTACACACATATGTATACTTACTCTTGCTACTTGCGCCCGCCCTCGCCCCCCCCCGCCGATATATATGCTTTTCTCATATGTGCATAGATTCGAGGCTCTTGATGTTTAACAATTGTTTTTAATAAATTTTTATAGTTTTATGGTAAATTTGTTTTACGCGATCATAAAAATTATTAATGTTTACTTAAGGTGAGTTCAACAATTCTCAAAACAATTCACGAAACGAGTCTAGCAAAAGGACGTCTTACTTGCAAGTTTGAAGCAATTGTGAACTGTCAGAATGCCAGCGGCGCTGTATTACAAGAGATTTTTTGACGTAGTGCGACGCAAACGTTCGCAAAGCAAGTCTCTACTTATACGGCTACAACGAATTCAACCAGAAAATTCAAAACTCTCAGTCAAGTTAGCGACTTCCTCATCCGACCGAATCAGCAGAAGATATCTGCGCTGTAGTGTTAGAGTGCGGCTGAACGTACGAGATTGCTCACTTGAAGACAATCGCTGAAATTGTCGACACTATAAGCCAGTTTCTACCCGATTTGGCATAAAAATCGTAGCCGACATGTTTCTAAACAACAGTTCGCAAAGGAATTGAAGCCAGCCGATCAGCTTGATATATTGACTCTACTTTTTCTCTTGGTTCAAAATGACATCTCTGTTTGAAAGATCCTATGTGTGTCATTTTGAGCGATAATGTTTTGCCATTAGTGGGGTAAAAATATTCACCCATCAGCAGTTGGACTTCTGTGATTTGTGAACAGAAATCATAACCAACGCACGGACCGTTAAAGAAATGGCGCGAAGAGCGAAACAAACGGGACTAGGACGTGGCAAAGCTGATGCTGTACAATGGATGAATTGAGGAGTTCCAAACCAGCCTTCCTTAATTTATGCTGGATCATTAGAGACAGACGTGGCCTAACACTGCTGTGATCAATGAGGACATTTTTTCTTTTGATGAATGCTGGACGCTTTACCTAATTTGTCAGCTCGAATCACATTAATTGTAAACGATCGTCTGGGTAGGTCAGAGCAGCTTGTAAAACCCGATTTCCTTTCCACATTTCCTACGAAACGAAAAGCATTCAATTTGTGTTTATATATCTCCATCCATCTCGGAGCATCATCTCTCTCGCACATTATTATCGTATGTGAGCAATTTTCTATTAATCTCTTAAAAAGTGCTGGCACTTCGTTTCAGTCCATTATATTTTCCATTGTTAACTCGTGTCAAACATTAGGCAAATTATTCAAAATCGCTTTTAAGCCAATATTTAGTTCATCGACTTTGTCGAATGGTTGTTCGACTAGTGCGTCAAGCTTCTCTAATATCAATCAACTGCGCTCTGCTGATTGCGATAAAGCAACTTCATCGTGAACTCCGTGAATTTGAGCCAGCTTCGTAGAAGCATACACGCAAAATATTCCCCCCTTTTAGGAAAGCCACTACGGCAGGAACGAACCTCTACACATGATATAGCGAGTTAAGGTGGTATCGATTGTAATACTTTGCCTTTTCTGTGACGATCTAGGGATTGATTTTTTAAACCGCCTTCAGTTTTGTGTACATTCACACATTTCTCTCCTTTTATTGTAATTATTGTTATTGTTTCAACTTTATTTAGAGCTAAGAAATAGGTCTTGCACCGTCAACTAAGACTTACGGCTTCTTTTGAAAACGATAGACTTGAAGGTCAGTTTAGTCGTTTGAATAAAGTTAAATATTCAGGATCACTTTCTATATTGATTTAAACGTCATTCTGTCTCTCCTTTGTTTCCTCTCTTGTTTCGTTATGTTCAGCATAAGCAATTTTTAAGAAATTTTAATGAATTCTCGTAAGCTAACGTTTCTGGGCTCAAGGACGAACGCTATTGAAAATGATTTCAATCGGACCACCGCCTTATTCTGAAAATTCACTCCAAGAATAGCTGTAGCGTGGTGTAAGGCGAGGCCCGCTATAGATTTTTTATTATTAAAATTTACTATACCAAATCTTTTTGTAACAGCAACTTTTTATGAGATTATTACACCCACCACCAAATTGTCGAATTATTTATATCAAAACGTTTGCAGAAAGAGTCTTCGGAAACTGTAAAAATTCCTGATCAACGCCAATTTCTAAATCGAAAAGAGCATGTGCGTATCAATAAATACCCCTACCTTGTTCTTCTGTTCGTTACTCCATCCCTCCGTCCGTCCATTCCACATTTCCCGTTCGCAAAAATGAAAACGTCGCTTTCAAATTTGGCAAAAATATTTGAAATCGACTTAAATCGACCAAAGTGCATATCACCAATGCTGGATGAATCGCGAACAGTTCCTCTTTCCGTTCTCCTTATCTTTGCTCATTAACTACACTAAGCAGGCGTTTCTTTTCTTTTATTCTACAATGATAGCAGCAGCGACCACATCCATCGACAATTACAGAACGCGAAAATTTTTTTTTTTTTTTTTTTACTTTCTTCTCGAATAGAGACAGTGGGTATAAAGGATTCGTTCACAACCGCATATAATTTTCTATTTGTTTAATGTTTTTTCCCAAGTTTCTAATTTTGCTTAAAACATTTCTTCAAATTTTCCCGGAAATTATCACCTATGGAAGAATAGCACTTAAAATTTATCTCGTACTTTGTGTTTGTTTATTTCTTAAAGACATACAACTATATTTCTATATCTACACACACATGTATAATAAGAATACATATATCATTATCGATTCGCTTTAATTTATCAGCACAGTTGTATAACTGCGGAAGTTCTTGCTTAAAAGTTTACCAGTTTGAACCGTTTACTTCTCCGTTTAGTCTTGATAATGTTTTCATTTGTAATACAATTGTGTCTCATACAAAATGCTGCGCTTGCTTTCGCTGAGAATAATGAATTCCATTTAGCAACATCTAGGTAAAAAAGTTCTCATAACAACAAATTATCCCATAGATTAATAATAATTTGAAAAATTTTATTCCTTGTAGCCTTCCAAAGGACTTAAATTTTATGCCTAGCTTAGCTAATGGACATTTAGGCTTTACGGTCTTTGGTGATGCGATTTATTTCAATGGTGTCTACAATGGTGAAGCTGGGAATAGCCGTCGCGCTCGTCTACCGCACAATTTAAATCTAACGATAGAGGTTTTCTCAGAGCATTTACGGGCCTACCGTCAATATCAACTTCCTCCGACGCAGTATGTTATGAATTTGGAAGGCGGTTACTTTCAATGGCAACAAAACTTAAGTGTCTCCTTAGGAGATACGGTACAAATTATTCAAAGAATTTATGCTCATCGATATTTCAATCGAGCTTTAGTCTACGATTTAAGTGTAAGCCGTACCAGCAGTCAAGGTAAAAGGAAATAATCTTTTCTTATGATCATCAAAAAATTTGAATTCTTTCTTGTTCAGAAACCTTGCTCATAAAGTTGCAACAAAATTCTGGTAATAAAAGCGAGGCTTTCGATATACAAGAAAAAGCGTCGAATAGCAACAATTTTTTTATATATAAGGCATTGACACGCCAAGTAGAAGATCCTCAATTTCAAACGCAGCGTTCCACTGTATACATTATTGAGAATGACTGCATCCCCCCTGAAGGAAAATTTTTAAAATTGAAGAACGGACAAAAATATATGAGTTATCGCTTCATATTAACCGCTGATCATAAGAAACATGTGGCCTTGAAAGAAATGCGAAATGGTAAGCAATCAATTGTTATCGTCTGTATTCGATTCTTCAATTAAGAAAATGATTTTTAGTGAACTCATTCGCTTATGCGTTTTTCAGTTTTAAGGTTTAGCTCGCAAGAATTGCTCAATAAGCACGCCCAAGAATGGGAACATTTTTGGGAGCATTTTCGTATTGAAATTAAAGGAAGTCTCGTTTTGGTATAAATCACTTTCCTCCGCTCTTCTGCTTTAGTTAAGTTTCCACTTTTCTTTTTTAGTCTCAAATAATAAATGCTGGCATTTTTTATTTGGCCAATTCGTTGCCTTCATCCACAAGCAATCAGCCTAATAATCCATACTGTGGCTTAAGTCCTACAGGTTTAGCTCGTGGTCAATTGGATGCCGACTATCAGGGTCACAGCTTTTGGGATACTGAAATTTGGATGCTGCCCATAATAACGCATCTCAATACGGATTGGTCACGCAGATTGCTTAAATATCGCTCCGACCGTTTAGCGGCAGCCAATTACAATGCTATGGCAACCGGTTATCGAGGGGCGAGGTAAAAGTATTTTCCGTATGTGAAACATTAGCTTTAAGATTTCCATGTAAATTATAGATTTCCTTGGGAAAGCGCTTTTACTGGCGTCGAAGTAACTAATCCATGCTGCCCTGAAGTGGCTCAACAACAAATCCACATATCAGCCGACATAGTTTTGGCTCTGCAGCATTTCTATGCAGTCACCCACGATGAGACTTGGCTGTGTGGAACTGCTTGGACCTTGGCCAGCGAAATTGCTGAATTTTTAATTAGTCGTGTTTCTTGGAATATTACAACCGATCTATACCATGTTGAGAGTAAGTAAAATCCAGCAGGAGGAAATGAAATCTATACAAAGCTCAGGCGCTTTTCCCTAGTTATCGGTAAGTCAGTCTACCGATCGCCAATATTTGTGCCCTGGTATGCAGTTGTATGTAGTTCTGAAGCAATATCTGTTTTAAGGCGAAGTACCTTGTACCGTTTTTACTGCAGCGGTGTAGCGACCATGTCGTTTCAAACATCAAATTTTGATGTGGCTTCGATAAATAGACATATCAAGTTCTAGACTAATACTTGCGACAAGTTATGCAAATATTTTCTAAGCATTTACGTGCTTAGATCACTCTCGTTTCCATACCTAAGCTCAAGCTAGAGGTAAACGAACTAAATCTTAACTTTCTATTGATATATTCGCGGGCTGAAAGACGGACATTATTGTGTCCAACCAGAATCTGCTTATGATCGGGGATGTATACTTCACTGTAGTTGCTATGATAAATTTTCTACAGAGCAATACAGCCCTACTTTCCTTTTGCACGAAAGAAAGGCTCCCGGAAAAACATCACGTAAACCCGCCGTTAAATTATATCTCTGCACGGTAACTCAATTCTATGGTAATTATGTTTTTGTCGGCAAAAGCATTATGTTCGCTACTTTTGTTTGACTATGAAAAAGCAGTTATAATAGATGTTCTCAGTCTTTGCCTTAAGGATTAAAGAAAACCGTGCAAAAAGAATTGAATGTATTTATTATAGACATATTTAAAAAAAAACATTCTCCCATCTTTCGCAGATGTCATGGGGCCTGATGAAGACCATAATCATGTTAATGATAATGCTTATACAAATGTAGCGTTTAAAAAAGCATTGGAATTCGCTAGGTTAGTTCCGTGTTAAAAGCATCAGGAACGTTACTTTCTGACAAGCCTTAATGTTATTGCCATAGTTTTGTCTCATCCGTATGTTGGAATCAAACTGAACAAAGCAAAGCATGGTTGAACGTAGCTCAAAAGATGTATCTACCTTATAACAAATCAAACGATTATCATCCTGAGTATGCTGGCTATGAGACGGGAGAGCAAATTAAACAGGCGGACGCTATCCTTTTAGGTTTCCCTTTGCAACTCGATATGGTCAAGTTAATAAAGTTTGAATTTCTTTGATTCTTTCAACTAAATCTCCTTCCATAGTACAACACGCTACAATGATTTAGTACTTTATGAGAATGTAACACGTGCTTCGGGTCCAGCTATGACTTGGTCTATGTTCGCCATAAACTTTTTAGACGTCGGTTTTAAAACAAAGGCTGATGAGTATTTCCTAAAAGGTTTTGAGAATTACATAAGATCGGAATTTAAGGTGAATACATGTACTTGAATGAATATGGAAAGAAAATCTCACGTATTTATTCTCTGTTCTCTTTGTTTAGGTATGGAGCGAAACATCTTTTCCTTTTAAAGGTTCCTCGAATTTTCTAACAGGAATAGGTGGCTTTCTCCAATCAATTCTTTATGGTTATGCCGGTATTCGTTTTCATTTAGATCCAAAGGGCAGATCGCAAATGTTGCTTAAACAAAGTCATTTACTGCCCGCAATCAAATCGTTTACTGTTAAAGGTATACGAAGCATCTTTCAACAAGATGTGTCGTTTTAAATCAGCGGAAACTTTTCATGCTACAAAGTTATAGTTTTAAGAGCCGTGTTGCGTTCATAACATTAATTTCAGACCAAAAAAGGCCAGTTGGCAGTCATTGTAACGGTCGAAGCAGCCGCATAAAACCTAATCAAAGGTCAATAAGTTCCAATAACAACGCTCGCCCAAAACTATACGATCGTCCATTATTGTTAAAGTGTTTTTCCGATTACTACTTTTGCGTGTTCTACTTTTAAAATCTTATTGGACTAAGACAATGAATAATTTGGAGCCTGCTTATGCATCTCTAATATCCAATCAGGAAATCCATATCTTTAACCGGCCAAGGGTTGTCACAATGATAATTGTAGATTTACGCTTCAAGAATAAGCCGCGATTTAAAATGACATCTTTCGTTCAAAACTCTTACATTTATTTATTATGTTGTTAATGAATTTTTCTGTTCCCAAGGCATAAAATTTGGTAACGCATCATTCGCCTTAAAGATATTTGGCAATGGGAACTCTCTATTAACCTGCTTAAGCTTAGGCAGCCTTCCTTTACAATTAATGGGGAAAACCCCGGAACCGATCATCTTAACGGATAACTGCGCAAGTAAGCCAAATAGTACTTGTATAGTAGGAATTTTTGATCTTTCCAATATAATTAATAAATACTCTTCCCTTCGTTCTTTTTAAAAACAAGTATCTTTAGAAAACGAAACTGTTACCATCCAAACGCCAGAGTTTACATCGAAGCTGTGATCCTCAACTTAATATACAACATTAAACAATTATAGTATTTTTATGCATATTTTTCATGGTTTAACTTTATTAAAAAATAACCAAAACACTGAGAGCAATTAAGTTCGAGCACGTTCTTCTTGACTAGTGTATAATTTTTATATATAATATATATACATATACTATCATCATTTCATGATATTCTATGTTCATCTATATAAATTGGGTAAGAGAAAATTTGCATATTTCCGTGTTACGCAGACAGATAGACGAACAGACAAACATGCGTGGTTTTTGAAACTGTCTGTGGTATATGGGTTCAAATTTATGTAGATTTGTCTGCTGTATTTTATCGGTAATAAGCAAAAATTGATTGATTGATTGATTCTGATCCTTCGACCGATTTATCCCATTTTCAGTGCCAAGCTACGTGAAGAAACTTCCAAAGTTTCTGTAAATTTCAAGTCGATAGCTTCATTTTTGCGGCCAGGAGAATATTTACAACATACTATATACGGACGGACAAGCAGATAGATGGACAACCACTACTTAGAACCCCTTTTATCCAATTTATCCATTAATGATCCCACCTCGGTGATTAAAGCCACCCAAATCTTAATATACGCTGATTATGTTAAGCTCGTTCCATCCTTTTCCTAGGAATCGCAATCGTATAAGCTTCAAATTGACGCAAACAATTTGGTTACGTGGTGTTGATTCTATTTTGTGAAATTAAATCTAAGAAAATGCAAGAAGCTTCCTTCTTTGGGTTGGGGCCCTGTTGTCTCTCTGCCTCCTCCTGTGTTGTCTTTACCATCACTTGAGAAACGTAGATTTTTTTCTTGATGTTTCCGTCTTAATTAAGTTAATAAACGGTACTATCGATTCGCCCATTTAAACTTTAATGTCCCTACTCACCTCTCGAAGCACTCTATTTTCATTAGGTTTAGTTAATGAAAAGATAGTTATGAGCTGTTTAAGCCGCTCAGAGTTGTTTGCGGAAACCTAAACGAGGTCTATCACTTAATCTCAATATCGGACCCTTTACACTCTATCAAAACATTATGCTTAATACGCACAATTTGTTGTATTTGTTCAGTTATAGTTCAACGTATGGCTTGCATTGAGTTGCTGCAGTATCGTAAATGAGTGGACAGGAAATGTTTAATTTTTCTGCACGCTTCTGCCTTAACAATGATGTTTATATCATAAAAAATCATATGATTGACATTTCGAACGTCATATGATTTCAAAATGACACGATTCAATGAAATATTGCTTTATTTAGTCATAAAATTAATTATTGTTAATTTACCAAAAGTAATTACAAATGTCTTTTCCTCAAAAAAAAGAAAAAACAATTTTTAAAGAAATTTTTCGCATTATAAACGATTATGTAAGCAGAAGCCATCTAATCAAATTGTCATCAATTTATGTAAACAAAACGCAAGCTCAATATTCAACTCATTAAAAGTGTTGCATCATTGCAGCAGTGGACGATACAAACGCGTTCATTCTGCCTAGGACTTCAGTTGAATGTATTCCTGGGGCCTTATGCAGATATCTGTACAGACGTCTTAAAACTCTTTTTGCAAAAAAGAAAATGCCTTCGGCCATAATAGCGCTAAGCGCACTGAATACATTGTGAAATATTTTTCTATTATACGAAATACACTCCAGTAAAGCTATACAGGTTATGTATTCAACTATATATAAGCACGACAGTTGGTATATGATGCGTTCAGTGCTTGGAAGCGCTTCCCTTACAAAAATCAAATATCATAAAATTTTGCTTTTCTCTAATGGGTATATTGATATTACTATCAACAAACCTAATCCACCCTCTTAAAAAAGTCAAAAAAAAAAAATTTTACTAACGTTGAAATCGCTTTTGCAAAATACGAGCGCATGTATTTCTATTTGAAGAAAAATTGAGATACCGTCAATAATTAATTGTCTTTATATACAAATAGAAATAAACTGACAAATAGTAGCGTTTTTTTTGTATTCTATACAAAATTTGCAGTAGAAATGATCCAATCCTCTATATAGAATCTCTTAAATTCTGTACAAGATTCCAAGCTTTTAGTATACGAATACAAGCAAACATGCCATGAACGTGCATTTAGAAAAACTTATGGAACAAGAGGAAAAACAAGACAGAAATTATTTGGATTTATCAAGAAAATATTTGAGATTGAAAAAATCATGTTCGTCTGGCCAAGTGTCTGTAATTACGAAATGGATCTAACAAGATTGTAAAGTACAGCACAGTGATTGCATTACACGTTGTGAACGGCTCGCGAATTGTCGAACTAAAATTGATTTGTAGTTGAAAATATAGCTCACGTTGTAGCGTGAACGCAAATTTTTGCAAACCTTTAAAATTCCTGCATGCGTTGATTTTGACAACCAAAACTGTGATGTATTTATGAAAACGAAAACATAATCATATGGTTCATCTTTCAAACCCAATATTAATTTATAAATGCATTTATTAAAAAAAAAATTAAAGAACGTTTTTCCCGATTAATTAAATTAATTAATTAAATAATTAATTAATTGATTGTATTGTAAACAAATGCTAGCGATATGGTTTCACTTGCAGCAACGCATGCAAGCATTTAAACCCCGAAAAATAGCAATAAATCGTTCGTCTTGTGAAAATGCGGCAAAGTTTGAAATGTTAATTCCGCATCAATTCTGCATCACACCTGTCCAATTCATTACCCGTTGAGTCTAGTGTGATAACCATTAAAACAGTGTAGAAGACGTAGATTTACGACGCGCTACGTTGCGCAATCCCTTCCATAGAAGTCTTTATGCGGCAACAAGATATGCTGGTAGCGTCCTTATGACACTCAATATAGAATTCGAATGCAGAATTCATGCAGAATCGGCAACGATTGGCATGATTGCTTCTATCCGCGAAGAAGAGTTTTGCACCATTTACACGGCACAAAATCACATTTCTACTGCAAACTCTGTAAAGGGTGCGAAAATGCAGCGCTAATATCTTATATATGTGATGACGAAAATGAATGAGAAATTAGACCACGATGTGACCGGAAGTCACATTTGAACGTTGAACATACATTTTTTGATTATATCATACTGCATTGCCAAAATTATTTTTTATGTGTTTTCCTTAAAATTAACATCAAAAAATAAGTATTTATTACAAATGTGTAGTTAATCAAGAGGTGAACGTTAACGCTTTTCGTGACATGTTCACTTCTATACCGCGAGGTGACTCCCGGTCATACAATACACAATCCATTATTACATTATTTGACACTTTACGTGCATCACAGTAAGTACGGTTACATTGTTTTATGCAAGCGCTGTCAGATGAGAGACGTATGTGTATGAGCATAAGAAAACAAATGATAGATTCAACTAATTCAACGTATGAGAAGCTTAAGTCCAGTTGACATTCGTTGTGATAACAAATTCTATGTTCATCTATCGATTTTTTTAGCTTTGCGTGTTTTTTGTGACTTATAAAAAAAAAAGAAAATTAAATTGCGGCATAAGCCCGTTTTAAAGAAATGGCTAAGCGGCACAGCATTTTCTTGACTGAGGCAGAAATTCGTCATGCTATGGCTGAACTGAGTGACACTGATGATAATAAGGCTGAATTGGAAGACAATCAAAGTGATTGTTCAGAAAGCGGGGTAAATGCAGCAGAAATCAATTCCGATGTTGATGATGAGCTTTCCCTGAGTAGCGGTGATGAATACGTTGCAGAGGAGGAGGAGGAGGCATGGAATGGAGAAGCACACCTTATAGTCAACAACATTCGGTCCTTCTCATTAGAGAAGATATTCATACCGTAAGGCTTCCACCAGGCAAGCATATTGATTGCACGCTGGACGCCTTTTCATTATTCTTCGATAAAGAAATTACCGACATGATTGTCAAATACACCAACATTGAAGGGCAGAGAGTGGCTGCTGACAAATGGAAAAGAACGGATCCGATCGAAGTACGGGCTTTTATTGGCCTTGTTATAAATGCGGGTCTGAAAAAAGGCGGTATAAGTAAAATTGGGGAATTTTGGGACCCTTTACACGGCAATCCATTATTTAGAGCGTGCATGTCAAGAAACAGATTTGCAAATTTGAGGCGCCACTTGAGATTCGACGATAAGAGCACACGATCAGCTCGCAGGGATAAGTTTGCGCCATTTCGAGATTTTTGGGAAATAGTCAACCAAAATTTATCGAAACACTATATACCTGGACCGATTCTGACGATCGATGAACAGTTAGTTCCTTATCGCGGAAAAGTATCTTTTTTGCAATACGTACCATCAAAACCGGACAAGTACGGTATTAAAATATTTTGGATATGCGACAGCAGCAACAGTTATCCATTGAATGGAATTCCGTATCTTGGACAGGAAAGACCCAATCGAGAGCAAAATATGGCGCAGAGATGCGTTGAGGAGCTGTGTACGCCATTTCAAAGTAGTAACCGCTGTATCACGTATGATAACTTCTTTACGAGCTGCGAACTGGCTCAAAGTTTATTGAAAATGGGATTGACGTCAGTTGGAGCTCTTCGGAAAAATAAGAATAGCATACCGCCCGCATTTTTACCTCACAGACATCGAGAAGTGGAGAGTAATATATTTGGCTTCAGGAAAAATATTACGTTAGTAAGCTATGTACCAAAGAAAAATAAGGCTGTGCTCTTATTATCAACATTACATCACAACGCAGAAATCGATGTGAATAATAAAAACAAATCTACAATCAACACATTTTATAACACAACGAAAGTAGGAGTTAATCTTTTGGATCAAATGGCGCAATCATTTACCGCAAGACGTAAAACTAACAGATGGCCAAATGTCCTATTTTATAATTTAGTTGACGTGTGTGCAATAGCTGCAAAAATCATCTGACTAAACATCTATCCGAATTGGAATCATTCGAAGTCGAAACTACAACGCAAGTTGTTTTTAAAAAGTTTAGTAGAGGACATGGTAGTGCCACACACACAACGCCGCAGCATTTGAGTAAGCATGCTGTCGCAGGCATAAACGATGTCCTTGATCATACATCTGCTAGCATGGACGTTAAGCCACAGACGGATGATACGTCAATTAAGAGCGACATTCGACGACGCTGTCACATGTGCCCACCCAAAAAAAGCAGACTGTCGAAGCAGCGTTGCAGTTTATGTAAAAAAAATATATGTACCGAACATTCTAGAAAAATTATCATATGCAGAACTTGCGTTAATAAATAAGTTTTTTTTTACCTTTTGAATGTCTTCTTTTTCTTATACAATCTAAAATTGAGAAATATATGTATCGGTAGGTATAAGATGCCTAACAATACACTTTTTGCAATGCAATCAATATGCGCAGTCGTCTTTTCTTCCTTAAATTACACAATCTTCTAACTTCTAACACTTAAACAGACATCCTGTGAAATAAATCTTTAAGGGCGTTTAATCGAAGCAATTCCTCCCGTAATTCCACGTAATCCAAATATGAAAGATTACCATGTTGAAGTTGAAAGGTTTTCACATGCAAAACTCTCATTAATTCTTTTTGTTTACGTATAATTCCTTTATCATCTATTTTGGATGTGTCCGTTGATGTTCTTCGTTTTTTAGACTTTTTTGATTCTTTGCTTGGTGTCTGTAAAAGAGAAACATAAATTATTTTGATTATTAGAATACACGAAGTTTAGTTACTTTGTCCATGTTATTAAGTATAAAAACCAACCGGAGAATTATTTAGAGATGGCAATATCAAAACATAACAGTTATCGATTGTTTTATATTCTAAATAAGTTATGAGAATGCGCTGGGATGGTTATTATAATTAAAAATCAGATATCCAAGCAAAACTATTATTTTTGCCTCGGCTACTATCGATTCTGTGAAGGAAATTATACTCACATCTGAATTTTAGCCTTACGTTTTATATGGTACGACATTTTATGCTGCTTTATTAACATCTTTATCATTACTGTTGTTAATAATCGCGCCGCAAGAGACTTGTAGCCGTATTGGCACTAATTATTATAAATAATGATGGTTAAATATATTGAACTTATCTTTAATCTTTAATAAACTTTAATTTTCTAAGGACAGGTATGCATCCTTTGTAAAATGACGCTGATAATGTAATGAATCCTTGAGTTACTTTCTTTCACTTATTTTTCCTTGAGAATGTTTCGACAGTGAGGTCACGCAAGAAACATATACCCATCGATGGAATTCGAATACAGCAGGCAAGAAGCTAAAAAAACTAATCAATTCCTTCAGCTGGTCCAACTTGAATCTTTGTTTGATCCGTTTTTTTTAAAGACATAGCATTGGCCTCTTAAAATGTTTTTCGTAATAAATTAATTCTACTTTTCAATTGAACAATTCGGTCATTACTTATTATAAAATAGCGATTCGATCTAAGCTTGTCTGTCCACCTATCGGACCGTCCATCCTGGTTTCTTATGTTCAATCTACAGGCTGCAACTTTCGAGATATTTTGATGAAATTCGGTACAAGTGTCTTGACCCAAGAACTGGCGTTATTGGAAATTTGCGACGATTTTCCATACAACTATATATGGTATATATATAGTATGGAATAGCTATAGGCTGGTATCGGGTATCCAATGACAGGCCGTGACCTTTACAACCCTGCAGTTATCCGGCTCAGACTATAATCAATTAACACAAGTCTTCAGCTTAAGCTCAAAGTCCGATATGCGAAAAAAAAATTTTATGGAGCCTAACTGCCTTGCCTCAAAATGAAGAAGAAAAAATCGGTCACAAAAATTGTTAAAAAAAATAAGCTAAAAAAATTTATTTGGCGGAAAAAGCCGCCAAATGAATTGACGTTCGCGTTCTTCTTCCAAATTTTCACCGAATACAAATGTTTTCGTCTTGAGCTTCTTACTATCGCTATCTTCATGGAGTTGCCCAATTCATCCTAACGCTCATTGTATAAATTATATTCGTAGTTTAGTAAATTCCTGTTGTCCTCTGCATTTCGCTGGTAATGTCCACCGCCCAATATATTGACGTTTACCAATAAATCCCCAGCGTTTTCGATTAGAACGTCAATATATTTTTAGTGATAAAATGACAGAATCCCTCCCAAATAACAGAAATTTTCTTTAAAATTGCAATCACGACCACTTGCGTCAACGATCTCCCGTTTTATATTAGGTTTAAAGTTGTTCTTGCCCCGAATCTGGTCTAATCTCGTTGTCCAAATTCTGTCACTGTATCCGCAAATGAATGATAGACCCAACTGAGCTAATGGCAATCCAATTTAATGCCAATAAATGAGATTATAAAACTTCGACTAAAATAAAAATAATGAGTAGAATGTAAGAACAGATTATTCGCTTAAGATATTTTATTGTAAGGAAAGCAAATACATTTGACCCTAGTGTTCATACTCGAATACATTCTATGTTTCCTGCGCAGTTTTTCCCACGCCAATTGAACAAGATTTTGTCGAGCGTCCAATACGATCGTCTCCGAACCGCTGTGTGAGTCGTCTTAAATTTTAGAATTTATTCCATCATAAAGGCATGGGTAACATATTTATACTCACGTTCTAATTGGATAAGTTTAAGAAAACCGATATTGTCTCGATACTTTTTATAGTAGCTCTAATATATGTGCACTTTTAAAAAGAAATATATTTAAAATGTGACTGGATCCGGAAATCAATAAGTGCCGTATTTTAATTAATGATTGCATGTGTTGGTATGTTGGTATGACGGTAATAAACAAACGTATAAAAATAATTATAAGACAAAGATTCATTACAAGGGCTTTACGATAATCCTAATATTTGATAAACTATTGCATCACAATTATTTGTGTAATTGCTGTTATTTTTTTTTGAAATCAATTGTGTGTTCCTTTTAAAAATTCCGGAAATAGTTGTCGAGGAGGTGTACATGTTTGCTTTGCAAGTTTACTTAAACTTCGAAATTGAAGTGCCGGCGGCGGCCGCGGCAGCCGTTTGCTTACCACCGCTCAGTACAACAAAAGCGGTTTTAGTTTCCTTTTGTTTTTGTTGCAACATATTCAATGTGCCCAATGGCGTGTCCGTAGAGCTCATAGTTTTCATCAACTAAGGAAAAAGAAAGCAATTTTTTCAAATTAAAATTTATCATTTTATAAGTGATTTTGTTACTTTACCCCTTCTTGTTCCATTTTCTTCAAGCGCTTCTCAATCTTATTCTTGCCCGGACCTTTGCCATGAAATTTATGCGATAAATAACGAAAAGCTTCTTTCAAATTTAAAATACGTCCGTTATCGTCAATGTATTCCAGCTTTATGTTGGGCTTAAAATTATCCTTATCTCGAAAATCTACGATAGGACCTGTGTGAAAGCGATCCCTTCGTCCAAATTTCTCATCATCTCTACAAAAGGAAGGTGAATATTCAGTAAAACTTTTCGTTGTTCGGTTATCGTACAGCTAAACTTACCCCGTGGTTTTATCTTCAATGGAGTAATTTTTTGCTTGGAGATGAGCCATTTTAGAATTACTTGGTCGATTTTTTTCTTCCTTTTCCAAGTAACCTTTAGATAAAGCTAACCGCAGAGCATTTGCCACGCCCGCTCCTACATCCGGTTCTTCATCTAAAATCGCAACTTCCTCAACCTCATCAACTATATTATCCAAGTCAGCTGGTTGCATCACCTCATCCGGATCTACAGAATTCCAAGTACCGTGATTTGATTCTGGTTCATTTGTTGCACCACCTATACGCTCATCAACTGCCTCGTGCACCTCAAAGTCCATTAGATCATTAGAGGCTTCCTCGCGATTTCCTGACATACCGTATGTTGGAATATCACCTAATGTTCTGCAAAATTCAGCGGTGGCATTTAATACAATATGACCATCTTTTCCCTGCTCATCAGACGTCTGGCCATCATCATTATTTGTCTCCGTTTTAATTTCTGCTTTCAGCAGATCTGCATCAATCGGCAAAGACTTCTTAATTATGTTTTCCTTTTGCTTCACTTTTCTGGCCTTAGCCAGGATACGCTCCAAGTCATCATCGTCTTCCTCGATCTTTAAATCTACTGCTTCGTTAGCTGCTTTATTCATGGGATTGTCTTCAGTATCGGAACTATGCCGACGAGCAATGCGATTGCCCAAATGTCGACCGAGCGGCCCATCAGCTAAGGGCGCCAAGTCATCAGCTTTCAATTTTTGGCGTAGCTTTTTAATTTTTTTCTTAGGCTTTTTAAATCTTGAAAAAAAAAAAAAAAATTGTAAGATAAAATATTTATGATGGCTACTTAAAGCGATTCGGTAATAATATTACAAACCTATTAAGCAGAAATGGAATTTTAATACAATTGAAAATGTAATGGCTTCTTAAAATCCGGTTAATCATTGCTTCCGCGAACAAAAGCTGAGAGTACTCACCTAACCATTTCCGATTCCGTCAAGATATCAGAAGCCAAAGTTATCTGCGCATCAGCCAATGTTTCTAAACGTTTACCAGCTAATTTCGTTTTAATTTTGAGCAATTTACGTTGACGTTCACGTTCCTCTTCCAAATTTTCACCGATTACAAACGTTTTCGTCTTGAGCTTCTTACCATCGATATCTTCATCATATTTATCTAGAATGCTTCGTTCGATTGGGTTGCCCAGTTCATCGTACTGCTCATCGTATACATTGTACCCATAGTTTAATGGGTTGTTCTTTTTGTTCTCTACATTTTGCTGATAACGTTCATCGTCCAACATATTGACATTTACTAATGTATCCCCGACCTTTTCGTCTAGAACATCAGCATCCTTTAGAGTTAAAATAACAGTCTTCCCTTCACTAAAGGAAGTCACGTCATGATCAACTTTTAGACCTTTAAGGTGTTTATCTGTGTAAGACTTTCGTCGAATTTCTGAACGTTCCTTTTCCACCAAGTCGTCGACTCCGAATTCAGCATCCATTTCCTCTAAGGCTTTTGCCTGATCAAAAAAAAAGGAAAAGATAATATATTCGTTATATAATGTGAAGATGTAAGGATAGGATACTAACCCTCCGATCGGCCTCTTCCTTTTCGTCAGCTATGCGTTTATTACGCTGTACCCACTTAGACACATCGTCAACCTCTTCATCCGACTCTCCCAAGGTACGTATGTGAGCCAAGCGCGTTTCCAGAAAACGCTTTTCTTTACGCTGTTTAAGTTTTTCACGAAATTTCTCTGCTTCAGCTTTTTCTTTGAGATTATCAGCCGGTTTGTGAAAAAACTCACCCCATTCGTCTTTGTACGAATTGAGCTCTTTTCCTCCAGTCCGCTTCTTAGCGTCCGATGTCTCCGGGGTAGTTGGTTTGGGGCCCGAGTTTTCTTCAAGTGGTTTCAGACCTAGCTTGGCTCGCAATCTGTTGGTCTCTTCTATTGAAAGACAGTCACCGGCCCCATTTTCAGGAATAGGTGAGTATTCCCGTTCTTTAGGCTCACGACCTCTAGCCCCGTCTCGTTCCCTTTCTGATCGTTCATTCCGATAACGAGAATGATGATCGCGTTCACTACTCCTACTTTCGCGTTCGGTAGAGTTATGTTCAGATATCTCTGGACGGTCCTGTTTGCTATAATATTCACGTCTAGGGCGTTTTGAACGCTTTTCTTCATGTTGTTCATACTCGTATTCTCTCACCTCACGTTCACTCCGATGGTCCGAGTGATAATCATGATAACGTTTGGCTCTCTCCCGTTCCTCTTCATAATCATCGTATTTGTTTGAATGTTCGCGTTCATTGCGATCTTCGTATTCTTTTGTGTCCCTGTCGAAGCGCTGTCTGGAATGTTCCCTTTTCCTCTTTAGGCGTTCCTTTTCATATTCGGCGTACTTAGATAATTGAGGAGGTGGCGGGGCCACCGGATCTCTGCTCCTGCTTTTACGATTTTCATTTGTGTCCAGTGGCACTTCCACGCAATCGGAACCTGAAATAACAAGATTTATTTTAATTGCCGCAACCAAACAAAGCAATATTGTGACTGAACGCTTTTCAATTCCAAATTAAGAAAGGAAACAAATTCGTGATTACACTCATCCTTTACCATAGTTATGGGTCTGAAAAAGAGAGTAAATAAAAAACACCGATGATTTATCGTCAATCCTTCGAATAGCGCGCAGTGCAAGGGAGATAAATGCTTAGCATACCAAATCGATTCAATGAAATGCAACAAAAAAAATTATATCGCTCTTAATTTTTCATCAGAATTTATCTCCCTTTTTCGGGAAGGAAACCCCTAAATAGAAAGCTGCGCACTTTCCCCGTTTCTTAAGAAAACATATATTTATATGCCCAGCCCAAAAAGACTTACTGTCGGAATCGCTTTCCGGAACGGCAATCACTTCGCTTCGCTGGTCGGACTCCTTTTCATTTGCTTGTTTGTGATGGCGTTCTCGGTGGTGCTGTTTATGTTTCTTATGCTTGTGACGATGATGCGAGTTATCGCCAGTGAGATCTATACCTTCTTCGTCATCGCCCACACTGCGATATTCAGTAGAACGTGGCGACCTTGAACGATGACGCTTATGTTTCTTTTCCTTTTTGTGCTTATGCTTTCCAGATGACGATGATCTCATCTTTTCCTTTTTTTAATCTTATATTTTTGACGAAAATAATTTGGAAAAAATCAGATACCAAAAAACCTGTAATTTATGATGTGAATACAATAAATGCTGGCAGCTATAATCGGTTACTCGATTTTACTATTTTCTCAAGGGTGGAAAAAAGCGCAATGTATATCCACAAGACAAAGCAATATATATTCGAATAATCACGATTCTCTGTGTTGTATCAATAAGAGTAGAAAATAATATTTATTATATATATAGCTGCTTTGTACATAGTGAAATCGATGATAAATAAATTTTTCAATCTGATCACTTTGAATTGCCACACCGTGGTATTAAAAATCACTATCAAACACTTTATTTATCGATTACTTTTTTTTTAAAACTTATGTTGATAATAGTTCACTAACAAAAACAAAGCGGGATAAATCGTAATTTTTCGAGAAATAACAAAAATTTTTCAAATGGATTGCGACGCAGTTCGTTTATTGAATGCTGAAAGCCGTGAGCAATTGCTCAAGGTGAGGAATGAGGAACTGGCTAATGTCCGAAAACTGCAAGTAATTGTTCAACACCTGAAATCTATGAATTGCAAAGAAATTCCCTTACCTGATCATGAGCAAGTTGAAAAAGCCCAAAAGCTATTAAAAATTGCAAATCATTTGCATTTAAATGATAAAAAGGACGAATATGTATTAGGTGCGATATAATAAAAATTTAATATTAACATTCACAAAGAATTTTTGATTTGTATCATATTTTAGATATCGGAGCCATGTGTGCGGTTAATTTAAGCTACTCTGAACGAGGTGCTGTACGCCGCCAACTAATTAAGGATATCCAAGAAAAACTTTCTCCTATAAGAGATTTTGGGCAAAAATTGCGTTCCGAACTGCCAGAATTATTAAATGAAAAGCTTGATCCTCGGTTCCTAATTATTGAGTTGGAAAAGCGACGTCGTTCGAATTTGGAAAAGATTGTTGAATTCCGTCAACGTAAATGTCAGCTACTAAAAATGGCTGCCGATCTTAAAATGGGTCCCTATCTTGGTAACGAGCTAGAATTGCTTTTGATGAGAGCGAACCGAGATCTTCTAAAGGCGAAAGTTTTGCACAGTTATTTTATTAACGAACTGCTGACACGTAGTGAACATAGTTTGAAATCTATACAAGAAGTAGAGGGTTATATTAATGATACTCTAAGACAAGTGGAAGGAAATGTCATATAAAAAATCATTTTCCTCAGGCTTATCTTTGTCAAGTAAATTTGATGTTACATCGGAATGTTATGTGCGGAGAGGAACAAATAAATAAAAAACTACTGTCTACATATCTGCCTGGCACAGGTAAATTTCTATTCATATAAACAAATCGTTTCTCCCATTTCCCCATTTACAGCCTTCATTCAACGCATTCTAGGAAAATAACTTACATTTTGAACGAAAAAAAAGTAAAACAATGTAAATGAAAAGAAAATTATATAATATAATATGTCTAACCCGAGATACCCCCAAGCACTTAAGACTGTGAACAATATCTATTCTGTAATCGCCAATCAAGATATCCACGTAGAGAAGATAATCATCCTTATGACCAAAAAGCATAGATTTCGATTTGGGACGGTTGGTGAGTAGGATGTTCGCCAATAATCATTCCGAGAAGAATACTAACACTATAATTGATGTTTGACTCAAACCTGAAACTCAAATCAAACATTGTAAAGCCGATTAAAATCGGTCAAATGGTGGGCAAAACTATTATAGATATTGCGAGCGTTACAGATTCGATTTTACCCTATTTTCAAAAAAATGATAATTCGATTACAGATGTTATGGGAGCTCGAGTGTCGCTGATAATATTTTCAAACACAACATCTAACATATACGCTTGAATTTAAACAATTTTATAAACAATGAAAACAAAACCCAAATCTGATCTGACATATTTTAATTTAAGTTAATTTAATCGCAAGCCGAATTATTTTCTATTTATGCTCAACAATTTCTTCGCAAGCCCAATTATTTTCTAACCTGACGAGATTTTAGTGTAGCCAAGATTGGAGAATGTTGTTTATAGGAAAAGCAGCCATTTTGGTTAAAATCAAAAGCTATTTCCAAATGTTTTATGTTTTATGCTCTTAAGTTTTTATTGAAAAAATGAAACCCAAAAAATACCTACGGTGCTATTTACGCAGCAACTGGGGTGGTGAACAGGGTGAATTCAAAAATAAATGTAAAATACTTTGAATGATGTGGCAACGTCTTCTAGCACTTATCTTATCCAATAAACTATTTGTTGACATTTCGCACAAGAAATGACTTTAAATGGAAATTCAACCAAAGAGTTTAATTTGTTAATTTGTAGCGAACAAAGTGGCACAGAGAACGCTTCAGATACAATTATAACCGATCAGGAACGATCGATTTCTATGTTCAACTCAATGTTGGACAGTGAAAATGAAGATAAAGAGGATTGTGTTAGCACGACAACAACAACTACCTCACGCAGCAAATCGCCCGGAGCTCGTTTTACCAAAATTAACCGTCGCGTGAAATCACCGAAAGTAGTCAAACCTATATATAAATATAAGTAAAGTATTTGGATGTAAACAAAATCCGGAAAACATTCTATTTTTAAATCAATTTGCAGCTGTCATATACGAGAGGATCACATGCAACCGTTGTTTGGGGCACAATTCAACCATTTTCTTGGTAAAGATCAAGCAATTTTTGCCTCGGTGGGAAAAGATCGTGTTTCTATATATGAATGCCCCTTTGGATCGGAGGAAAACGCAGATGATGATGCTTATGGCATTAAACTTTTACAGTGCTATGCTGATCCGGACGTATGTCTTACGTTTTAAATTTTATAAAAAGGAAAGCGTCAGTTAACATCTTCTCTTTTAAAGCCTGATGAAAATTTTTATACGTGTGCTTGGTCTTACGAAATGGATACATCCGATCCTCTGTTAGCTGCAGCGGGTTATCGGGGTGTAATACGTATTTTCAACCTCTCTAAAAACATGTGTACAAAACAGTACATCGGGCATGGTCATGCAGTGAATGAATTAAAATTCCACCCTAAACTGCCACAGTTATTGTTGTCGGGTAGTAAAGATCATTCGTTGCGTTTATGGAATATTCAGACCGACGTCTGCGTAGCCATTTTTGGTGGCGTCGAAGGACACCGTGATGAAGTTTTGTCTCTAGATTTCGATTTACGTGGCGATCGCATTATGTCCAGTGGTATGGATCATTCTTTAAAACTGTGGTGTTTAGCTAAACCCGCCATAAAGGCTGCCATCGATGATAGTTACAACTTTAACGCTACCAAAACTACGGCACCATATCCTACAATCAAAGAACATTTTCCTGACTTTTCAACGCGAGATATTCATCGCAATTATGTGGATTGTGTTCAGTGGTTCGGTGATTTCGTTCTCTCCAAGTCATGCGAAAACTCTATTGTATGTTGGAAACCTGGCAAATTAGAACAAGAGAAGATTCGACCTCACGAGACGGCTATCACTATAATACATCACTTTGATTACAAAGAATGCGAAATTTGGTTTATACGCTTTGCTTTTAATTTTTGGCATAAAATGCTAGCCTTGGGTAATCAGCAAGGGAAGACCTATGTGTGGGAATTGGATAGCTCAGATCCGAACTTGACAAAATGCAGTAGTTTAGTGCATCCAAAGTGTACTTCGGCCATACGACAAAGCACTTTTTCGAAAGATTGCTCCGTATTGATATGTGTATGTGATGACGGCACCATCTGGCGATGGGATAAATGCATTTAAATGAGAAAACAAAGAAAAGAGATTGAAAAAATGGGTAATTTTAAGTCAATCGCTTGTAGTCACATTGGATCTCCTATGCCATATATAAAAGCACTAAAATTCAATAGATATATTGTCGTTTGCACCGTAATGAATATAAATGTATTTCAACGGATTCGAAAGAACATTGGATTGTTATGAAAACTGAATTGGATTAAAAAATTCACCGACATTGCCATTGACAGATTTTTCAATTTATTCGATATTGTGCAATACTTTCGATGTCGCCAAGAAATTTTGAGAATTTTTCTTTAAAATAAGTACATAAAAAAGAGAGGATGGAGTGGAAAATGTTTTGCTTAGATCCGTGCATATAAACCTCTTCATCTAATTCAATAAATTATAAGCATAATAAACGTGCTATAAGCTTCTAACGAAGAGACAACAAAAACGTTATTAAGTTATGAAAGGACCTCCTTTTTGTTTTCTTCATTTTTGTAATGTTTTACTTTCTTTGCTTAAGAAAAACAAAAGTTCCGATTTTTAAACTTTTATCTATCGTGTTTCGCAATTTTAAAAAATTTACAGCGTTGTATTCAAAAAACGAACCTTGAAGAAAAAGCACGTATATAACAACGTCGCTTAATTAATACTCATCCATTTATATCTCAATTTAATATGAACTTCTTATGTGATGAAGTTGTTGTACTGTATACTGCCTAGTATAAGTATATATAGTGCATTAAATATGAAGAAACATTATATTATATGTTACATCGACCGGCAAGTTAACGATAATTATTGAAACTAGGAAAGGTCTCTTACCACAAAAGTCTTTCTGTTTAACAAATATGATAAAGATTTTAATTCTTTTAAGGTATGTGATGTCTGTGTTACTGCTGACATTTTGGCAGACTTGGAAAGATAACAATTTCAATCTCTTTTTTAACAATTATATAAATCATATTATATATAAGTTGAAATGAAAAATAACATATTTTAACATTTAAGCTTCGTTTTTATCATCTTGACCGCACTTTTAACATATCTTAACATCTCTGATTTTTGCGTCAACATCTTGGATTTGCTTTAAAATATCTTAACGCCTCTGTTTTTACGCGTTAACATATGGGGGAAGTCAGTTAATTTATGTTAGAATCCGTTAGTAAAACTCGTGGTTTTCATTGGTTTTATTTAAAAAACGCAAAAAACAGTTGATATATATATATATATATATATATATATATTCATATTATAAAAAAGTTGAATATAAGTAAGCATATTTTAATTTTTATGTTTCTTTTCAGTCTCATCATTTATCATCAATTTCATCAACTATCTTATTCATTTTTTTATTATATATATTTATATATTATGTATACACAGAGTGAAGAGTACTTGAACCATGTGCGATTATACACGACATTTACGCCGAGGTGCATTTACATTCTACATCTATTCCTTGTATCATTTCGGAAATTTTTTTTGATTTGTTTTGAAAAAGATTCATGCGTTATTTTCTTTTCACACTATCAAAAATTGAATTCAACTCATCTCCTCTAAATATCAACTCAGATTGAAAATTTATGTAAATCCCTTGTTAATATTTGACCTTCTGAATGAATTAAATCATATAAGAAAAGTGAATAGAGACCATATCCTGGATATTCTCTTCAGACATGAGTTAAACTTTTTTTAAATGTATTTTCAACATTTTTATAGTTTCTTTTCACTTACTTAATCACCAGATCTCTATTGTTATATCGTTCTCTTTAAGGACTTTAATAACCTCTGTTATTTTTCCCATCTTAATGCAAGATCCGCTTAATATCCTTTGAGATAGATTGTAAACTATATAAAAAAAAATACCTTTAAGATTTTTTCTTCCCTTTTATTAGTTTACGTTTTTTGATTTATTATAAGGTTTTCAAAATCTCTGTCAATAGGTAAGACATTATTAAAATAATTATGTAAAAACGAAAATCAGTTAACATATTATTCAAGAGCCTTTCATGAGAAATACTAAAACTAAGGAGACAACAAATCCAAATTCCCATTTTAATAAATCCCTTTATTTTGCAATAACGTTTTGCGGTGTCTTGGCAATAATCATCTTAACCAACAACACCGAATGATTGTATCAACTCGTCAGAAACTGTGAATTTAGAATCGTCGGTCTTCACGAATCGTTACCGAATTTTTTGTTTTATTCGTGGTAAACAATTATTTTCAATACATTTAAAGTATTTTCATAAGGATATTTGATAAAATATTAAAAGGAAAAAAGAAAATATAAAAAATCTGTTTAACATGTGAGTAGATATTTGCAAAATTGTTCTTAAATTATCTTTAAGAAAACATACGGAGAAAAAAGTTGTACTGTACGATAATAGAAGAAAAAAAGACTATTAAACATATAGTACATACATCATATTATACATAAATGATTGGTGCAGGTAAATTTTTCATTCCTTCTAGGCTTGTTATGCCAAGCGGGGAACTGTTTAAGTGCTTGTTGTTCTTTTTGTTTCTTTGTGTGCTGTTTGCTCAAACAAAACATCGTATAATACATGCAGTGTTATTATTTTTTTCTTTAAAGGAAAATTGAGTTGTTTGCATTAAGGCTTTTGTTGTAAGGCGGTGAAAAACTGCCCTTTTATTGACATCTTGCCTAGAGTTACAAAATGGACTTTGCCTTTTTATTTTTGCTGAGATCTATGTACCAATATGTACAAATTTATAATTGTGTATGTATGCAATGTAGAATAATATTGGTGTTTTAATTATGTGCATTGACGGTTTGTTGTTTGCGCTCTTTGTCTTTGCGAGTGTTCGAATATAAAGTCCTTTAGAAAAGACGTTAATTTTATCTGGGACATACCTTTGCATTATCAATGCATTATCACACTTTATTATTTATATTTTTAATCAAGACGTCACAGTTTAATAAACACATGACCACTTGAGTACGTACAAGTACAATGGCTGTTTTTGTTTTGCCAATTTTGCTTTACTTTCGTTCTCTATTTTTATTGATTTTATGAATAATGTCGCTTTTCCACTGAACTATTTATTCGTTGAGTCATGGGTGAATTTTTTTGTTTTTTTTTTTTCTATTTCATTGATGGTGCAACCTCCCACCGTCATTCACAGAGAAGAGCACGCTTCAATGTATTCTACCTACCTACCTACGTTATCAGCAGATTTAACTGAGTGACAGAGAAGGAGAGAGGAATTCTAAGGGTAGCGATGATGAAGGGGCTAGTGGGTTTTCGTTGTGCACATTGTTTATAGGCGCTGTTGTTGTCGTTTTTAAATAGTTCCCCTACTTCATTCATAAAAAGACGTTTGCCTGCTACAAATCAACAGACTCGTCGTAGTGTACGCTAATATTATAGTAAAGATTTGTTTTCATTTTTTTTTTTTTTTTTCTTTAACCGTCTTATCACTTTACTGAAATTCATTGTTATCATTGTGTACATACATATATAATAAATACATTGCAAGGTACGAAAGGTAAACAAAATATTTTTAAAAATAAAACCAATCTCTACATAAAAATCTACTGAAACTGCACAACCATTATTACATATTTAATCAACGAAAAATAAAGTTCATTCTTTCATTTTTTAATTTTGTTCGCCTATTTCAGGCATTTCCGTTCAGTTTTGCGAGATAATGAGGATAGATATAGAGCGGCTATATAACAATGCTTGTATAGAATGCTGAAATTTGAAATCTTGTGTGCACGTTAAACATATGTTGGCAGTTTTGCTATTACTACAATATTAAAATATTGTATGAGATATTAGTGAAAGTATGTTCAAAATAGGATCCAAATTATATTTTAAATATATCTTAAATATATAGTGTGAAGTTTATTTTGGTTTAGAAGTTTCATTCTTGGTTTTTATTCTCTACATAGTTCGCAGTACACGGTATATTAAGTATATGGACTTAAGTAAGGACTTTTATGAAAACTTTCGATTCAGAAGCATTTCCATGACCTTTGTGTTTGATGTGTGGTCGTCTATTTATATATTTAACGTACAAGAGAGATATATCTTGAGATATTTTTGCGAGAATTTATTGAATTAAAGCTTTTCGATCTGACGACAACAACAGCTGCTTTCAATGAATTGGTTCGGGCCATCTTTAAGATTAAGCTCCACATAAAGCGCGAAGCGAAGATAAGCATTCGGGATTACTCGTAAGGTTTTATTTTTTTCTTCTTAAATCTCGTCTTTAAGGCAACTTCAGCTTCTCCGATTCGTGTCATTGCAGTCGGTGCAATGAATATACTTTAGGAAGGGAAGTGTGAGAATTTCTGTAATGATTTTTAAAACTTTTCTTTTCATGCTAAATTAATAAAATTAAATTAAAATTTTTCTCATTAAGTCAAACTTCTTGAGAAGATTTTTTTCGTGAACAATTTGCTTGCTCTTGCTCTTCAGCTTCAACATAACGCTAACAATTGTGCAAATACCTGAGTAGAGTAGATTTATTTCGCTTGCGTTAAAAATCAATTTTGTTTTAAATAAAGAAAAAAACTTTTCGATAACCATTAAAGTCAATATTGCATTTAATGTAATTTGAAATCTATAAAAAGTTATAGACGTTGTTATTTAGAATTGTGGTTCCGTTTGTGGTTAGGTTTGAATTTTATGCAATTTTTTTGTATGTTTCTTTATTTTGCTCTGTATAATTGCTATAGAGTGTTTCGTAATAGATTTTTTAGTTTTTTCTTCTTACTTTAACTCATTGCGTTGTTGTTAATGTCGTTGTCGTTGGCTTTAATATTAATTCTTTGTTTATATGCGATTGTCTTATATGCGGTTTATTTTGGTGCACTAATAACGACCTACGCGTGCTTAGGCAGTCTCAATTGCAGTCTCGGTGTTTGTTTACTTTAGTGTGTTTCTAGTTCAATGGGCACAAATTTTGTTTACCGTAAAATCGCCTTTATTTTTTGTTTTTTTGTTTATCCGTAAAATATATTTGATTTTACTTTTCAAAGGCAGATTGTAAACCTGGCAATGCAATTCAAGCCAGCCACTTAATCTGGCTTAAGTGGTGTAGCACGTAGTAGTATCACATTTTTCACATTTGTTACTTAAAAATTTATAAAAGCGATCTTTTTGTTACCTATCATCCGTATAAATAAGTGTTGAGGGCTTTTTTTATATCCACCTATGAAGAATGGGGTCCTTTTTTTTTCTTAATGTATGTAGCACCCAAAACGAAGCTTCAGAGACCCTATAAGTTATATGACATATTACCCGCAGAGACGCCCGTTTCTTGAGAGCAGCAGTACTTTCCCTTATCTTTTTGCGACCGTAAATATTTGAAGTTTTCGCGAAAGCTTCAATTGAAATAATCTCTGAATGCAAATTAATATGGGAAAGTCGTTTAGTGAATAGTAACAAAATTAACGAGCGGTGGATGTCAATTGAGTGGGTTAAAAAACGATATCATATACTACTTTTTGTTTAAAGTAACTTAGGAGAACTGGAAAAGCACAACATTTGAGTCAGTAAAATATTTATGACTTTTCGTTCATTACCGTTATATACGCATTGGCGTAAGCAGGGAAGTAAAGCCTACTGATTGATAAAGCTTTGACAAAGACAAATCTCACATAATATAA